AAAAAAAAGAGGTTTGTACCTATGTTGTTTATTTATTATTTCTTGCCTAGATCTTGTAATATGAGAAACTACTTTGGCAATAACAATACACAATGTACTAACCATTGTTACTCCCCTAAAATCTTGTTTTGAGATTTTTGTACCATTGTTTTTATTTTTTTTCTTTAAAATAAAAATAACTGATGTCAAAAAAATTAAATTAAATTAAATTAAAAAAAAACAAACAAAACAAAACCAAATATGGAAGAACCTCAAGGTCTGTTTTTTTTTTTGTACCAAGGATCAAACTCTGGAGCTTCTGCTTGCCAGGCAGGTGCTTATGCCACTGAGTTATCTTCCCAACTCCTATACTGAACTCCTTTTTTTTTTTTTTTGTGGTACCGGGGATTGAACTCAGGCCCTTGTGTTTGCCAGGCAAGTGCTTATTCCACTGAGCCATCTCCCCAGCCCCTATATTGAACTCTTAAGAGGACGAAACTAAAGAGATGGGGAACAGATTGGGAAGAGTGGCAGCAGGCAAGTGAGACACGGCTATTGCTAAAGCCAAGCACAGAGATCCTTATGATGAAATTATTGTCTGTCTTGGACTTTGGAGGGGGTCACATGAATCTACACATGGGATAAAAATGCACAGAATAAGGCCCCCACACAACCAAACCTACACACAAATGGGTACAAACTGATGAGAAATCTGAAGATGTCAGTGGATTCAGTAAGACCAGTGGATAGCATCTATGTCAGTTTCTGGGCTGTGAACCTTCTTACAGTTGAACAAGACATAACCACTGGGGAAATGGGTATAGGCTACGGATCTCTCTGTATCATTTCTTATAAATACAAGCAAATACACAATTATCTCAAAATAAAGTGCTAAAAGATGTGAAGGACTCGTATCTTGACAAGATCCACATAACCTGAATCTATTCATTAAGGAACAGAACATCAGACAAACTCAAATACAAAATAAATGACTTATATACTTCAAAAATTTCATGCATATACAGCACACAATCTGCTCTAGTTCATCCTGGTTGTTTTGTCCCACAAATCAAACTCAGGACTTAGCACTTGCCGGGCAGGTACTTATGCTACTGAGCTATATATCTGGCCCTCTATATATTTTTTCATCTATTTTTTGTTTTTTTGAGACGGGATCTGGCTATGAAGTTCAGGCTGGCCTTGAGCTCACGCCGTAGCCCAGGCTGATCTTGAACTAACATCCTCCTGCCTCAGCTTCCCGAGTGCTGGGGTTATAAGTATGCACTTTTTTCTTTTCTTTTTTAATTTTTTTTATTTTTTATTAAATTGAGGTTTTTGCACAGAAAGCAATGAATCTGTTTAATGGCAGTGCACTGACCCATTTTGATGAAGACCTCAAAAGAAGGCAAAAGCAAGCACCATCAGACAGATTCAGTATGCACTTTTTTCTATTAATTTTTCTATTAATGTACTGAGCATTTTTGTACAACTTGAAAAAGGTCAGCAGATCAGACAGTATACTGGATTGATACTAATTTCCTGTTATTTTTATTTTAACGAGAATAAAAAATAAAAACAATACAGAATTTTAAAATGAGTGGAAATTACAATGGTTATTATATTGCACACTGTTTTCTTCAAGGTGGCTGAAGATTACCAAATATAGGCATGTAAACTGATCAAACAATATAAACACTTTCTTTAAACACTGTTCTTTTCAATGAACTAACAGACATTAATAGTACAATTATCTTAGCTATCTTGTGTACACACACACACACACACACACACACACACACACACTCTTCTTTTCCTTTCCCAAGTTATTCTAATTTCCTGATTTTTATAATTATATTGTACCTAAGACAATTTTTTTTTTACAAAAAATATGGTGAAATATTTAAAAGGAGAGGGGCCTCATGCCTCAAATTTACTCTCCAGTAGCTAAAAAAAGATACACACAGAAAAGAAAAGAAAATAATGGCAAAATGTTAACAGGTGGGGAATCTGAGTGGTGGCGATGCTTTGTATTACTGCCACCTTTCTGCAAGCCTACAGCTATAAATAATGAAACAACACAGAGAGCAGCACACAGAGGTCCAGCAAACCCTAGCGCTCAGCGCTGTAAAGGCCGGCGTGCAGCTCATCTGCCACGCACTGCCCAGACGCGCAGGCCCTGAGTCCATCCCCAGCACCGCAAGAAGCAGACACAGAAACTACCTGTCTTTTTCAGATGAAGAAATGGGTGGGAAAGCTAGATAAACTGTCCAAGAGGGAGCAGGGTAGGCTGGTGGGAAGGTGGGAATTAACGCTGATCTGCTTCATGGCAAAGTCTGTGCTTCTTTCACTAGAATGAGGACAGAGGGAAACTCTGATTTCCCCACAGGAATCTGGTACACCTTAGGAGAAGACGGTGCCATGTGAATTTAGCTCTAAGTCATTCTCTCAGCAGTTTACTTACTAGTCTCTACTATTTGGGCCTAAAAATACCTGAAGGGCTTCCATGGCTAATCCCCTGATGGCATTACTGATGGCATTAGTGTGAGAGGATGAAAGTTTTGAGGGGTTCCCAGTTAAAGGGTCGGTAACACAGGCATGTGCCTGGGGGCTATATTGTGTCCTCTGCCTGTCGTGTCCTTTTCTTTTTCTGCTTCCTGGTGGCCATGACATAAACAGCCTTCCACCAACATGTCCTTCTGCTATGATACTTCTACCTTGTCACAGGCCTGAAAGCGATGGAGCCAGCTGGAAGTGGACTACAACCTCTGAAATCATGACCCAAAATAAATGTTTTTCTCATTAAGGCACTATTCTTGGACATTTTGTCACAAGGCCAGAAAGCTTATGAGTACAGATTTCTACAAGAAGTGTCTAAAACAAGGATCTAACAGCTCAAACCAGGCTGCCAGAACATCAAACCAATGGAACGTCATCTCTAGGCCTTCCACTCCAGAGAAGCATGCTGCTTTGACAGTGTCTTTACTTACTCAGCCAAAACTCACTGTGTAGCACGAGGTAATGGATGGTTTCGGACCCCACTAGCCACAGACCTCTTGTGCCACTGCTCTACCTCACTCTCACCACCCAGTCTGAAATAGCTGTGACAGGGAACTCAGGGATTCTCATCCCTGAACAGTTAATGTATACTTCAGACTTCACATGGGAAGAAGAGTGAAGTGTCCTCAATCTTTCCAGGTCCCCTCTCTAGAGACAACCAAAGTTATCAGTTTAAAAATGTAACTGTGGGGCTGCGGAGATAGCTCAGTGGCTTAAGAGCCCATCTAGCAAGCACAAGGTTCTGGGTTTGACCTGGTACTGGAAAAAAATAAAGTAACTTTGTGATATTTCTTTAAATTAAAAAAGAATGCAAATCATATCATGATGTTAAACTATCTCTTTAAGGAAAATATTATCAACACCTCTAAATGTAATAACTTTTTCCTTTATGTGTTTAAAATATCCTTAAAACATTTGTGTATATATGTTTGTAACATTAAAAGACAAACCAAAGGTTACAATTTTGCTTTTAGTGAAGAAAGAAGTCTGCAGGGTACACAATCACAACAGACGTGTGGCCGCCAGCTGGTGAGCAGCGGCTGCTGCAGGGCACCACCACTTACCACTCACCTGGTTCCTGTCGCGTGCATTCGTGTACCTGATCTTCTGAATGAAGTAGAATATCAGCCATGCTGAAGAAATAATCATCAGAACAATAAAGGATATTGACACGAAGACGAGAGAGCCACGGCTGAAGTTCTTGGGTGGCATTCGAGTTCCAACAGCTATTGTCATCTGCACAGAGATGTTTTTCTCCAGATAACCCAAAATGTCCTTGCCCCTCAATTCCGTTATCATGACAGCAATAATATCTCCAGTGCCTGAAATATGAAATAAATACAGATTCGAGCAACATTTAAAATTTGTAGAAAAATCAAATGAATGAACGAATGAAAAAGTAAGCAAGCAAGCTGTCTGGAAGAACTCTAGTTTTTGCTGTTGAAAGGATTTGCAGATTGAGCTTTATAACAGAAATAAGGAATTAAAAGTGGGCATGGTGTGTGCTAAGCAAGATTCAGACTGAAGGCATAAAACAATGACGGCATTAAAAACACACATCTATTGCTACGTTTAGTTTTTTCTGTTGCTGTAGTTCGTTTGGGACAGGGTCTTGCTATGCAGCTCAGGCTGTGCATGAACTCATGACGCAGTCCCAAGCCGGCATTTGGGCAGTCCTGCTGCATCTGCCTCCCAAGTGCTGGGATTACTGGCATGTGATACCACACCTGGCCACAGCTATATTTAAAAAGCACTATGAAAATAGCCAAATGCGACAGTACTGACAAGTGATAGTGATATAGTCATAGAAATGTGACAAAATTATGATGCATTCACAGAGCCTTTTCTATGCTCAATGGTCTTCACAAAACCCTAATTTCGTAATAGAAGGAGAAATGCAGTTATTTATAGTACACCAAGTGTTTCTTGACCTCCCACCCTCGGGATCGCCTGTGGAACCCTGCTGAGCAGAGCTGGTGTGATGGAGCAAGGCGCCCAGGGCACAGAGTTTTGTAACATCCATCATGATGGCTCGGGATGCACACGCGGCCCCGCAGCAAAGACAGCTAAGGGCCAAACAGCAGGGCATTTTATTAACATCTGGTCTCACCCCTAGAAATCTGACCGGGTGAGGCTCCTTTCCAGTTTACTCCAGAGCCTCTGGAACTCAAAATTTTTTTGAGACAAGTTCATACTTCAACATTCTGGACTAGTTTGGTATCAAAGTCCTTTAACTTCTATAGCTGTCCAGCAGCCACAGTGGTTATGAGCTGTGAGGCTGGTTTGAAGTCACCTTTCTGAGTCACAAAGTCCTCTCCCTTGTATTCTTTCAGAAACAGCAACACTTTCTTACAGGTAAGAAACCACAGCTCCTGTGACAGCAGGGCAGCACTGTCTCATTCCTCCTCCACAAAGAAAAGGCTTCTCATTTTACTTAAGGAAGTGAGAAGCCTGTCTCCATAGACCAGTAACAGGAGCTTCCCCATGTTTACAACCTGCCTTCTTTCAAAGGATCCCTAAGACAGCCAGTGGTGAGCTTGTTAGACACTGAATGCTAACTGCAACCCCAAACCCACGTATTTACTTCAAAGTGCCAATGCTGAAATTAAGCCAAATATTGAGATTTTAGTTTGGAAAAAACAACTCTACATTAACATCTTTTGTCTTAAAAGAAAAAGAAAGTTAACAATGTGCCATAGGTTAGCCACTAGTGCTCTAGGAGAAACTGGAAATAGGAAAGGAGAAACAATATTTTATTTTGGGAAAGATAAAATTATAATCACTTATTTGAATTGAGCAAGATTTGTGTACATAACTGTAAACCACTAAACCAAACAAATAGGCAAAACCCCTAAACTTGAACTTTCAAAAGTCTCTTCAATGACTATTAAAAACATTGGTTTTATGTTTCATTTATATTTATCTAAAAGAATCATTTTTGTACTATAATTGCAGTCAAAAGACTACATGCAATAAGAAGTAATTCAGTAACAAAAGGACTGAAAAATGTTCCAATGAACACAGATTTGTGCATTACCTTACTCAGAATGGCTCCAGCCATTCTAACAGAACAGTGTACCATAATACTGTTTAAAAATCCACAAACAAAAAGAAAACTGCAAAATTAATGCAAGCAATAAAATTAACATCTAATTACCTTTGTGAAATAAGCACTTTGGTCAGTAAGTTAGAGAAAATAATGTTCACAGGTTAAATTTACACGTAGAAACCTGAAGCTTGCACTTTACAATGCTGTCCAACAGGCAGGGGTCTGCGGTATCAGTACCAGTATGGCTATAAAGTAACTGAGACGGATCCCACAAAAGACACATGACAATCAGTCTCATTGCTTTATAATCACACCAGGTACAAGTGTTTAGAACTCAGTTCTGAGGCTCCCTCTCGAAGACTCGGGCTGGAAAAAGGAGAGGGAAGGCTGTACAGGGAGCCAAGAGAACCAATCCAGGTAATTTCACTCAAAGAACAGTAAAGGAACATGTCAACTAATTTCACTAGGAAGCTGTCTGGAAAAGAAGAATTTAATTATTTCAATCATCATGCAACGATATTTATTGAGCACATACTATGCCCCTGACTGACATGTGCTGCATGGGATCCACAACGCCTCCCTGGTGCAAGTGTTTGGAAGGTAAAGGGGGTGAGGGCAGTGGCGGGAGGTGTGAGGGTGACATGCTCCTCAGAGGATTTGTCACTGGCAGTGCTGACAATGGGCCTGAAGGGGCGGTGAGGAGGTGGAGCTGTGGAGGTGGTCACTAGGGCTGGACCTGGAAGGATGCATTCTTTTTTTGAGACAGGGTCTCGCTGTGTAGTTCAGGCCGGCCTTGACCAGAATGATGCTCCTGCCTCACCTGCTCAGCACTGGGACGACATATGTGCACCATTACGTCAGTCTGGAAGGGGGCATTCCTGTTAGGGATCCTCCCTTTCCTGCTTCTTCCCTGCCACTCCCTGCCATGGGTTGAGCAGCTTGCTTCTGTCTCTCTCGGCCACCACAATGTTTTTGCCTTGAAGCTGGGACTGAATCCATCCAAATGTGAACCAAATAATTTTTTTTTTCTTTCTGTTTTTGAGGCTAAGCCCTGAACTTGTGCTGATCTTACTGCCTCAGGCTCCCAAGTGGTAGCATTATAGGTGCATGTCATCACTTCCAGCCACCTCTCCTTTAAATTGTGGGAGTTGGGTACTGTTTCCAGCAATGGGAAAGCCCAACAGGAAAACTATCTGATCTCTGGAGGGCAAAGGAGAATCTCAAAGGGATTAGAAAGGGAGCCAAATATAGGTATAAGTTTGTCACCCTACACAGAGGAATAAACTAGAAAGAGTAATAGTAAAGGAGACTAAGTCTTGTGATCCAACAAGATGAGAAACAAATTATAGGGGCCATCAGAGCACCAGTGAGGACTGGGGCTTTCAACTGTGCTGTCTTAAATCCGCTATAGACTCCAGTGAAAGTTACTCAGGGTCTGCTCCTAAGAAAAGCCCCATCCCAACACCCGAAGCCCACCTGGGTTTAAAGACCTTGCCTTAAGAATCTGGGAGGAGGATTAATGCAAGAGGAACATGAATCTTTAGGATAACAGTAAGGTTACAAAAAGCAGGGATTGGTAAGAGCTGAGGATTAACTAGATCACAATGATGGGAACATTCAAGCAAGATGACAGATATTTGGGCCATTCATCACACTCCTGTATCCTAAGTCCGTGGCAAAGACACTGACGTCTTTGGCAAACGCTGCTAATAAATTAAGGATACAGCCTCAGAATCTGATATGCGTTACAATGTGTCCGGTAACCAGTATTAATTTACAAGAGATAACAATGAAACTAAACAGCTATTGGTGATTCTGGCTTTCAACTATTTTCTTGAAAAACTTTCTCTACTGTTACTCTTTGTATTTATTCATTTATTTTTGTATTTTAGGGAAAGGTCTACAGGGTGTTCAGGATCTCACTACTAGATCACACTCCTAGTGATCGGCCTGTTTACCACCTCCCAAGAGCTGGGATTACAGGCATGCGCCACCATGCCCAGTCTCAACTGCAGTCTCAGTGAGCTCCAGGGGCGGGACTGGCACAGCAGGCCCGGGGATCAAACCCCTGGCCCCTGTGCCTGCTTGCAGGCGCTTTCTACTGTTACTCTCTAATGGGAATCTATGCTTCACTGCTTAAGTCTGATTACTCTAATAAACAAATCTATTTTTCCTCTTGAATTTTGAAATTTTTTCTTTAACACTTAGAATAGTTTTTTTTTCTTTTCTTTTCTTTCTTTTTTTTTTGAGACAGGGTCTTCCTATGCCATTTGGGCTGGCCTTGTGCTTACTTTTGTAGCTCCCATAGTGGTCTCGAACTCATAGTGATCCTCCTGTTTCAACCTCTCAGTGCTTGGATTACAGGCATGCACCACCATGCCTGTTCTGGGGCTGTCACAGCATGCGGGGCTGGGGATTGAACTCGGGTCCTTGTGTGCCAGGTAGGTGCTTATGCCTCTGAGCTCTTTCCCCAGCCCCACACAGAATAGTTTTGATACTATGTAAACCGTCATGTGCCTTTAGCTTTGTAAACATAAGGTTTTGCCCTTTCTATATTTATTACTGAAGTAAGAGTAAACTGCAACCAAGAGAACATTACATCTTCAAATACTTCAGCAGTATTTCCTAAGAACAAGGTTCATAATCCATTTGTATGTACTCTTAATAATGTCTATTTTATTTCATTAAAATGTTATTAGTACATGTCTGAAGTACATAATGATTGAATTTATCATGGAGTTGGTATCTGCACATGGCATGCCTTAGTTCTTTTATAATTGCTGTTTGGTTTTGGACGGCTGTGAGCATTATGGTTGGTTGTCATGTCTCACTGGTCTCCTCCCATCCAAAATTCCAGAGTCACTTGTCCACTGTTCAGGACACTGACATCTTTGAAGAGACCAAGCTAGATGTTTTAAAAATGTCCTCTGCCAAGTGTTTCCTGTGATCAGACCTCCAGCTTACACGTCTAGGAAGAAGCCATAAGGTAGTGCCACAGCCTCCCTTCTCAGGCATCACATCAGAAGCATGGGGCAGGCTTCATCTCGACTGCTGACAGGAACTTTTGTGACCTGGTTGCTCGTGTATCTGTCAGACTGCTGCACTGCAATGGACTTCTCTTCTTAATGAGCAATCTGTGGGGAACACCCAGGTCACACGTGCTGCCAGCTCCTTAGTAAGCCTCCACTCAGTGCGTTCCCCATCCATCAACACTCACCTGAAACATGTCGCTAGAATTTTAGAACTACAGATTTTTCTCATGCTGTAATTTCC